TAATGAAACAATTGTTCGTGAAGTGATTGTTGACAAAATGAATCAAACCCACATTAAATGTTTTATTTTTAAATTCATGATTTTAATTGGTCAATCAATCAACAATTGCGTGGTAAAATTTTGTGTTACAAATTGTATAATAATAACGAACAATTATTTCATGTGCCGAATGTAGAAGGTTGAGTTCCGTGCGCTGAAATGGCCTAGTAGTCGTGTGACATTTCCCTGAGGCTTGCTTTTCTATATGTGAAAATAAATTTGAAATTCGTGTCACATGGAGTTTTTTTAAAATATCTTGTTATTTTTATAATAAACTCGAAATTCGTTGTTAGAGTAAAATGAAAGTACTCTATTAATACTCTTTCATATCGAAAGGTCTCCTCTACATGAATTCACAGCTATTCAAAAACGGTATTACTTTTTCACTTCAAACCTCAGATTATTTCTCAATATCGCTTTAAAAGACTTGATAATAAACAAGAAGGTGTAGAGTACTTTAAGCTTTCATATGGTCATTACTTTATGGGGGTATTGGTTGACCCCACTGCTGCACATGATTGTGGCAGGAAAATCTCATCGGCGCAGCAGCAGCAATGGGGTTTTCTTTTCGTCACAGTCAGCTAATAGGGTGATTCCGATTTAGCATAACAAATTTTACTTGTTATCAGCCATACTATATATCAGTAGATTCATTCTTTCATTGTTAACCAGAAATTAAAAAATATGCACATCATGACAAATGTGGAAGGATCAACATTTATTATAAAAAGATGACCGCAACACTCTAATTCGGGTCAATAGTCAATCAAAAAAAGAAACTCAAAAGGGGTCGCCTGGTCGAATATGGTGATTAATGTTTATTGCTATATTAAAAAACTCAGTCTCCATATTCTTATTACAATATTACAATAATGAATAACACGAACACGAATTAATTCTTTTTAGTAAAAAATAAAATTGCCAAGAAAAAATCCCATTTATAAGTGCCATATTTTTTTATTTAGTAATAAATAATGTTTGAATTTTCTTTCATAATAAAAAAAATATCAATTCCGAGAAATGATTTCTTTAATATTAATACTACTATTTATATTAAATATAGTACCGGTCAAATCACAAAATTACGCAATTCCTGCACCTGATATAGCTGGCATACCAAGCGATTCTAGTATAACGTATCCAGATTATGAATACACAAAATTGCTTTCTTATTCTTTATATTTTTATGAAGCTCAGAGAAGTGGTAAATTACCTCCCAATAACAGAGTAACATGGTAATTAAAAAAAAAAGAATCTTTTAATGATTGATGCATTGATAGATTAATTAAATCAATTATTATTAATTAGGAGAAAAGATTCTGCGTTGACTGATGGTCAGGATGTTAAACTTGATCTCACTGGAGTAAGTATATCATATTTAATTATTAAAACGATATGTTGATTTTTATTATTTTGCAAGTTTTTAATTTAATCTTTAACATATAAATAATGATATAGGGATATTATGACGCTGGTATGTTTCATTATCAATTGATCTTAATTAACAATAAAAAAAAAATTATTTAGTAGTTAAAAGGTCATTATCATCGTCTTAAAAAATTTTAGGGGACTATTTGAAATTCACTTTACCATTATCCTGGACAATTACATCTTTATCATGGGGCGCATATGAATGGTTTGATGGATATCAACTTGCAAACCAAACTCAATACCTTCAAGATATGATTAGATGGGGAACAGATTGGCTAATAAAATCTCATCCTGACAATAACACTTTATACATTCAAATTGGATTGGGTGATGTAGACAATAATTACTGGGGACCTGATACAAAGTTAATTTAATTTATTAATGTTATTTTTTGGGTGGGATTTAAAAAAAATATTAAAGAATATTTGTATTATTTTATTTTAGTATTCCTTTACCGCGTCCATCATTTAATGTAAATTCTTCTGCTCATGGAACAGATGTTGTTGCCGAAACTGCAGCTGCGATGGCATCTGCCTCTATGTTATTCCGAGAAAAACTAAACGATACTACTTATGCTGATATTTTATTATCACATGCAAAGTCTTTATATGACTTTGCAGTAACAGCCCCATTAGTCAAATATCAAGATTCCGTTAGTGAGGCTAAGGACTTTTATTCATCTTCGGGATTTGGTGATGAATTAGTTTGGGCTTCACTTTGGTTATATCGAGCAACAAAGACTCAAGATTATATGAATAATGCTATAAATTATTTTGATACCTATTCCTTAGGTGGTTTAAATAAGGTTATTAATTGGGATGATAAAACTGGTGCCTGTTATGTGTTATTAGCTAAATTAACCCAAGAATCCAACCAAGATAGCAGTAGATGGACAAAAGAATCAGAAAGATATTTAGATGGTGTTGCAAGTGCATCAAATGGATGTAAATTTACAAAAGGTGGATTATACTTTTGTGATGGTGACAGCGATGCAGCATCTTTAAATCCTGCTCTCAACGCAGCTTTTGTGTCTTTATTGTATTCACCTTTAGCCACTTCCACTTCTAAATCTAATAAATATAATGATTTTGCCAATTCGCAAATTAATTATTTGTTGGGTAAAAATCCCTCAAAAATACCTTATGTCATTGGTGTCCACCCCAATTCACCTCAAAATCCTCATCATGCTGGTGCGCATGGCGGCAGTAACATAGGAAATTTGAATGATCCTCCTGTGACTCAACATATTTTATACGGTTGTATTGTTGGTGGACCTAAGAAAACAGATAAATTTGATGATGATCGAACTAAGTATGACGAAACTGAGGTATTATTATTATAATTATTGTTATTGTTATTGTTATTGTTATTATTATTATTTGGAAGAAATTAAATATTAAAATTATTTCTTTTGTAGGCTGCATTGGATTATAATGCACCATTTCAAAGTTTAATGGCTTATCAAGTAATTAATTCAAAAGAAGATCCATATTATGTTACTTTACCACCTGGCAGAGGAGTGGTTAAAGAAACATCAATGACAGTATTGATTGTTGTATTAGTTGTTGTATTTGTATTATTATTTTTAATTGTTGGTTTGATTATTTGGAAGAGAAAATCAATTTCAAAACTATATAAAAAACTTGTAAGGAAATTTAAAAAATAGATTAAAGATGATAATAATAATCATAATAATAATAATAAATAAATAATATTTATAACTAAATAAATTAAAACAAAGCGGCTAATAGTGATGCGCGAATTTTATAAACAATAACAGCGTGCCAAAGTATAAAAGAATTTTATACCAAGACATTTTCATCGTTTACAACCATTATCTATTACAACCATTGATTGGGAAAAAGAGAACTTGTATGCAGCTTCAATACAATTTAAAGTCGGATAACAACATTTAAAAATATTAATAAAATACCTTAATTTCCGATTCAATTGCTAAATATATTTTAGGTTCAATTAATGGAATCCTTTAAAGCAATTTCCAAAGGTGATCTAAAGACCAAAGATACCAATTACATCTTGTTTATTTAATAATAATGAACTTATCAATCAACCTCTCGATTAATTGTATTTAGCCAAATAATTTACCATTTAAGTGAATAATTTCCAATTGATTAACGATATTAAAAATAATCTTCAAGTTTGATGCGTGTTGTAAATCCAACAAATCCTTTGTCGCTCTGGCACAATTCTATACTATACTATGTTTATTATTATTAGTCAATAATATCATTATCTTCTTTATTATCATCCTCCATCTCTTTATTCTTTTTGACCCATTTCTTAATTGCTTCTATTGTTTTTTTCTAGGATTGATTTTTCGTTGATAGAAGTATGTGATAGCGGAAGCAATAATTCCAAGGTCACTAATTAGTGTACTTGGTTTATGTTTTATTTTTATTATTTCATTGATTTTTAGTCTATATTATATAGCTAGTCCTTATAAGTCCAATCAATAATCCATGAAAAATTTCGTTTGTATTTGTAAAAAGCATTTTTTGTCAAATTCGATGTGTTGAGCTTGGATTATGAGCATTTATCAAACAGTTATCCAAGGTTGATTATGGTGTTTGGCCACATATTCTCTAAAACCCATTATACAAAACTTTAGCTCATTTTGTTGTTGTTATATAATTAATTAAATTGACTTGATCCTTATTATATACATCTAGTGAGAAATGAGGCAAAACCACACAATGATAGCAAAGCATTCCACATCTAAAATATATTTTTTATTTTTTTTTGTTTTGAATTCAATCACATATTTAATAATATTGTTACAATATACTCCACATACACTATATTATTTCGAATAAAATAGATCAAGCAGGGTTGCAGAATTTCGCTGTACGAGAAGAATCTTTGTACGTACGATGTACGACTATACTTCGTACAATTGAGTTCGTTGTGGACGTATACCTGTACGAGAAACAATGGTTTACTGTAATGATAAAATATTATTTTGTAAAGTCCTATAATATTATTGTTATTGTCATTGTTATTGTTATTAAGCCGTTAACCCTATTACTATTTATTATAAATGGATTACTATATAGATGTTGTAACGGGTCGTAATACTACTTCATTATCAGGAAAATCCCTCTTTTTTATTTTATATTCTGTGGTACATTAAAAAGTAAATATCCCATGATTTCTAAATTTTTTTCCTTGAATAAAAAATTATCCTTTTTTAATTGAAATCATAATTACATTTTCAGCACTTAATCCTACAATTCTTTTATTCTGATGGTAAAGCTTCGAAAGATTACTAGGACCACTTTTTTTGTTTTGTTTCAATGATGTAATAAATTATTAAACTTGGTGAAAACAGGAATGAATTAAAAACGATAGTAGATAGAATTGAACACATACTGCAACATTTTAGTATACAGTAAAAAAGAAAAAAAAATTTATTTAATTAATAATTAACAATTTATTTAATTCTATTTCATCTCAATCATCTAGTTATGGAAGATGATGAACTTTATAACTTAGATGTCCAAAGTATTAATCATCCAGCAACAAGTTCTGGTGAAAAATGGATACTAAAAAACGATCTTTTTTTTAATTTATGAATGATGACGAATTAATGTATATTACATTTGATCAACCAATAAAAATTGGCATAAGTCACATGATATGTTCGTACAATGTACTAAAAAAATTTTAAGCTCGTACGTACGTGTACGAGTATCCCAACCCTGAAATAGATGTTAATTAAATCAATACTAATTCTATAAAAAACATTGAAAAATATAAAAATATGCTTATATATAAAAATAATTAATGTATAAAATAATTAACATAAATAAATAAATAAATAATAAATAAATAAACGAATAATTTATGAATATATTAAACAATCCTTTCCCACTTCTTGAATAACACACAATATACATATATATAATTCTAATATTATTAATATTATAAATTTTTTAGAATTCCAGGACAAAATTACTTTCATAAATTTGGCCAGTTCGTTTATTAATGGCCATTGCTTTAACTTCCATTGTACCGAAAGTTAAACTAAACTCTACTAAACGATTTTTGCCTTTTTGTGGATCTGGTAAATCGATTTTCATCTTACCAAGCATCCTCATTCCATCTTCATCGCAATATCTTGCATTATTATCGGTTGTAATGAAAATATTAAATGTCATGTCTATTTGATTGGTAGCTACTGGCGCTGCTGTATAGGAAAACTTTTGGTCAACCGATACTTCTGTGCCACGGAAAGCCAATTTATGAAACCTGAAAATACGTCCCGTTGGAGTTTTACGTTCTGGTGGATCATTTTTTTCCCATTTGGCACTGACTTCAACTCCATAACAAAATTTCAGAACCCTAGTTTGAACTACTCCCATATTAAGCCCGTATTCTAATGATCCTCTTACCACTGCTGCAATAGGATGCTTTGGTACAGCAATTATTGTCACCTATTAACATGAATATATATATATACATATTCATTTAATATTTTTATCATAACAAACATATAATTATGTATAAATGAAGACAAAGAAATTTACCATATTCATGAAATTTCTACGAATTTGATATTGTAAATAAAGACTTTCACTAAAACCTCCAACCAAAAACATTGCCATACATCTTCGTTCCATCTGACCTAATTGTCGACGGATTAATTCAATAATCTTATTTACCACAGGATCAAACATATCCTTTATGACTTGAAATTCCAATTCAATCAACCACTCAGCTTCCTCCATCTGATCCCGTGCATTACCGGTAACATATTTCATAAGTGCTGGACAAACTTTTTCTATATCAATCTCTTTTGTGGTAAACCCATTCGGGTTTCCAGAAAATGTAAATTTAACTCTGTTGCAAAAATATTGTACTAAATATTGAAGTTGTCCATAATTGTTTTCCTTGAGTTTTTTCATTGCAGCAAACCCTAACTTTTTCCCAAGGTACTTTAAAAATTCCCTGTCAACATAGGATGACCCACACAAATCACCACTCCTTTCAGTGATCTCCCCAAGTTTATTTTGGGGTAACAATGTCCTTGTAGTCAAATCTACCGTACCACCACCACAATCTACTATCATGAATGATGCTGTAATAATAATAATAATATAATTAGATATTTATAAGTAATTAAGCTATTAAACAAATATTAAACTTACATCCTACTGCTAGATTATGTTCAGCTAAAGTTTTTATACAATATATAGCAGCTGCTTCCGCTACAAAAAATAAATATATAAATATCGGTTAAATACTATTGTCACATATATATAATATGAATTATTTACAATGATTATGACTTTTTTCATCTTCTAATATAAAACTATAAATATATAACTTACGTTCTGTAGTGAATTCTAAATTATCTGATTGCCTGGCTTCTAAATAACCAGCATTGTACATACACTCTCTCATGACAGCTCTTGCGTCATGACCCCTATTTAAATATTAATTAATGATTATTTTAGGTTGGATGGAGTTGTATAATATATATTTATATTTTAGGTGAATTAAACCCTCCCCCCTAATTTACCATTCAGCAGGAACTGATATAACAAATCTTACTTGTTGAGGATATTTCATACCTATTTAAATAAAATTTAAATAAAAAATGAGGTTAATATAATTATATGCAAGTATAAATAAATAAATAAATATATTAATGGTTGATTGATTGATTACCAGGCCATCGAGTACTTAAAACTTGTGCAATTAACTACATAAATATATATAAATATACATATAACAGATTTAAAAAAAAAAAAATTTAATAATCAATATAGTAATTCGAAATTTTACTCACTTTATTCATTTCATGTAAATAATCTGTAATAGCCCTTCTAGAATCTAGGCCCAGGGGAAGTGGGGGTTTTTCGTCCTCCTTTACATTAGCTAAATGGAGTTTAAATAATTCCACCGGCCTTGATTGAGTTTGATTTCTCTTTGATCTTTTTGAGGGTTCTTCTGCCAATGCTGGATACCCCCACGCCAATAACTTGAGACTGTCATCGTATGATAACACTGTGTTTGTTTTAAATACTCCCGTTTGTGATGGCCTATTTCAATTATTATTAATTATTGTCATATTATTTAAATTTTTTAATTATTCATGCTAGTAGTTTGATTATTTTATTTCTCCCAAGATAGTTAAAAAAAAATTATTTTCATACCACTAGGAAGTTTGAAAGAAAAAAATTTTATGAATATATATTTATTTTTTTTTCGAAATTAAATGTATATATAAATAAATACATACTGTATCGTTAGTTATTATTTCTGGATTTACTCTACTTGAATATGCAAAACCTTTAAAATTGACCAATTTTTTATCGAAAAATATATATATTAAAATCTTTGAAAATGAAAACAAAACATCAATTATTTATTTTGTTAAAAAAAAAAATCCCATACCACTAAATGTTGTGCCAAAATCTGAATAAGGTTTATGAAATAAAAAAAGATTTTATTATTTTATTATTTTATTGATATTTTTTTATTTTTTTTTCAAAAAATTTTTTTAAAAAACAACTAACCGAGTGCAACAACAGCTCTAATATCTCTCATTGCCATATTTTTAATTTCCAATGTTATTTTTATTTTTTAAACGTGAATATTGAGATGTAAAGAAGGTAGGTATATAAATTAAAAGAAAATAAAAATAAAAATTTAGGAATAAAATGGAAATTCTCAATTTGGTTAAAATAAAATTTTCTACACAGTTCACGTGTTTCCATTATCTTCCCAAAAAAAGAATTATTTGTACAGTGCAAGTCACTTAGTCCCACA